AACAATATGCGACATAGACTTACTATTGCCACTTCCTTGTGCGGGAGAACATCTGCTCTTAATAGCTAAGATACTGGATGATACAGGTGGAGAGCAGGGTTCATTACCTTTAATCAGTTTGATTGGGTCCTTCTGTAGACTGTTCTGATCATCCTGATTCTCATCATGTGTCTCTGATGCCTCTGTGGGTTCATTGGGTTCATTGGTTTCATCACGATTAAGCAATGTAGACCATTCCTCCATCATATTTTTCTGATTACTCTCCACTTTATCCAGTCTTTTAGCTACTTTCAAAATGGCTGAAATATAAGCTTTTGTATGGGCTAGGTATTGTTCAAAGTTATGAAATGTAATAATCAGTTCAAATAATTGGTCTTCTCTGCTCTCTTTCATACATTCCTGCTAGTGTACTGGCATACTTTTCTGGTGCTGTTCTTGTTAATTTCCTCCACGTACTTGAACACCTGACTCTCTCCGGATCATGGGTGTGGATCATCAGGAATGAACGTGGGGTCATATAACATTTCCACCATGGCTAGTTCTTTCAAATAATGGATACCTTTTTCTATAGTAGTCCATTTGTTCACCTCATAAATCAGATCTTCTTTGAAGGGGTATTCTTCCTTTACAGCAAATAGCACTTTCTTCCAGAGGGTGAAAGCCCCATTCAGACATCTACTGATCCCTCTGTCAATGAGTCCTTAGCAATGCTTCCCAGTTGGCAAGCTTTTCTACCATCTAGGAACAAATTATTGGCCACAGTGTCCTAACATCAAAGTAATCAAGTGTCAGTAGGCTTACTTGGGTGCCATATAAAATCTTTTATCAAACCTCTATTCTAGATACTTTCATAGGTTGAATATTAGTAATGGTGATATTCATGATGAGCTGACCAAAGTACAGCCAGTCCCAAGCAACAGTTGCCCCCCTTGCCACCTGCCCTGGTTTTGTTGTACAGCATGATGCCATATGGTATGAAATATCCCTTCTGCCAGTTTAGGTCAGCTGTCCTGGCTGTGTCCCCTCCTGGCTTCCTGTGGACTCCCAGCCTCTTTACTGACAGGGTTGTGTGGGAAGCAAAAAAGTTCTTCACTTAAAGTGAGCACTGCTCTGCAACAACTAAAACGTCAGTAAGCATTATTCTCATCCTAAATCCAAGACACAACATCATACCAGCCACTATAAAAAAATAAAATAACTCTATCCCCACCAAAATCAGGACATGATGAATGTCTCAGATATTAATAATAGTAGGTCAGCACTAGCAGGAATATGAGATGGATATGCAACATGATGAGCTCTGGACTTGTCTTGGAAGCCATTGGATCTTCACCTGTCATAATGTCTTAGGGCAATACTGGCTGGAGTTCATTAGCTCCTTGGAGACTTTTAGGGAGCAGTGTGTGTCTGTGTAGGGATGTCTCACTTTGTATCCATTTCCAACTGTCCATAGCTGCATTTTTGCCTCTCTGAATCACACTCCCCTAAAATATGTTTTCATATGTTATTCTATGTAATTATCTGCCCAAATATTTTTTTTGTCCCTTCTTCTCTGAGAGGTTAAGCAATCTTGCTAGAAGGAGTCCCAAAAGAGTAATCCAGAAACAACAGATTCCTGAAAGTGAAATCTTAGAGGATAAAAAATTGAGAATGCTTCTCACTTGATACACTCCCAGGCTCCAGTTCTCTTTAGATCTTCCTGCACCAAACGTGATTTCTGACTAGTCAATATCTGTTTCTGAAGTGTAAACAGCTAAATTACTGTTCTTGGAGAAAAAGTGAAGAGGGATCTTGGAGCCAACTGAAAGCAGAGACAGCATTTTATGGAGGCTGTAGCTGCCTGTAACTGGAATGTGACAAGGTCCTGTGGCCCTTAATCAGTAGAACTGTCCAGAAAGGTGGGACAGAGACATACCCATTTGCTCAGCAGCAATTCTAGTTCATTAAGAACTTTATAATGGTTATGGCCCTAAAATAGATAGGTCTATCATTAAGCAAGAGGAAATGTGACAAAAGTAGAAATTCTGAACAGGCAAGTGTGAAAGCCATATTTGAGGTGGAACCTGCACACCAGTCTGTCAAAGGCTGGTGCTGTCGCCTGCCTGAATCACAGTTGACTGGGAATAGTTTCTTACTACAGCACAGCACCAAGGGGTAATGAGGCGGAGCTCTCTGGCATCCCAATCCACATAATAGGTCGCAGTTCTGCCACTACTCATGTCGGCTCTGGACATTACCATATCATTCAGTTATGCAGAAATGCCTGAATTAGCTGTAGTGCATGACCTCATCTAATGAATTAACCAGAGTCTGTAATTGTTTGTGAAAAGTTCATCCCTTCTCACTGATGGCAAAAGACAAACTTTGTCAGATCCACCTGGAAGCTTGCCAGTTCTAAGCTGAGTTTTTTGAGCCAAACTGCCAGAGTGATTCACTGTATCACCTCTTTGCAACTATTGGCATGTTCAGCTCTAGCAGCGATTCTACCACTGCTAGATAAAACTACAGAAGAGAGCTGCTCTAATTTTATTTTTTTTCTCTCTGGATGGTTCCTAACTGTGATTAGCAACAAGGTTATAACATGGAGACATCAATATCCTTCCTGCCCCTGAACTTGGATGCCACCTGCATTCTCCAGTGTGAGGAGACAAGCCTAGTGGACAGGAATATTACCTCTCCCCAGGTAATATTAATTCCAGACCTTGAAAATTCACATCAACCCTTCAATTGATATGCTTAATAATAACAGTGGCAATTATAGCAGTAACACTGGTATTTTAGTTACACTTGAAGCCTGAAAGAAAATTTGCTTATTACAAGCATATGAGAAGTTTAAATGTCAATTGCAGCCTACTTATTATAGAATCATAGAACCATAGAATGGCCTGGGTTGAAAAGGACCACAGTGATCATCTAGTTTCGATCACCCTGCTATGTGCAGGGTTGCCAACCAGGCTGCCCAGAGCCACATCCAGCCTGGCTTTAAATGCCTCCAGGGACAGGGCATCCACATCCTCCTTTTGCAACCTGTTCCAGTGTGTCACTACCCTCTGTGTGAAAAACTTCACCCTAATACCTCCTAAACCTCCCCTGTCTTAGTTTAAAATCATTCCTCCTTGCTCTATCACTATACACTCATGTAAACAGTTATACCCCCTCCTGTTTATATGCTCCCTTCAAGTACTTGTCACATTTTGGCTCCTGCTCTTGCACTCTGGTGGCTGCTCTTGCAGACACCTGTGACTGCAAACCAAATCTGTTTCCCACCACCATGAGTTTTGAATATGTATGTGATTAAAAAGCGGTTTTTTTTTTTTTTTTTTTTTTTTTTTTTTCCCCACAGAAACACCAGTGAGTCTATACCAAGGAGGTGAGAACAAAACAACTTGATTTCAAGAACAGTGATGGACAAAAATACCTCTAGGCTAAAAACCTTTGATCAGACAAGTAGCAGGGGACCAGACTCCATAACTTTGAAGCCTATTCCTATACATGTTCAAACACATGGGGAACTGGGAAAGGAATATAAAGAGAAAGGAAGAGAAAAAGAGAGATAAACTTTCCCCTCTCTCCTCCTTCCTCCCTGCTTTTTGTAAGGGTCTGGAGCTTGTCTTTGCATTGTTCAATGGTAATCTGTTTCTTATTCTTGCAAAGTGATGTTGTGCGCTGACCTGGTGTAATGCTGTGTTCAGCTGTGGGAATGATGTTTGCATCCTGCTCTTAAATGGATGTGTTCTGGGGATTTTTGAGAACTGGAGTATAGGAGCCATTTGCAGAGAGTAGAATATCACTCCAGCCTATGCCTTCCTAAGGGGTGCCACATATTCCCATGCCCATTTTTACATACAGTACCAATAACCATCCAATCCCCTGTTTGTCTTGTTTCCTCCATTATCAAAGATAAAGCCTCTGCAGAGATGGAACTTTGACAGAGTGGGTAGTCTCTGCATCCCAGTTATCTGAGTGATAAAACAAATGTGAGTTGTTCTAAATCTAGATGCATTCTGGGAGTCTGATTGCCAAAAGTTCCTTCATATAGCTGTGTGAACAGAAATACAGGCTCACATTCAGTGAAGATGCTGGAGCTATCTCCAGTGTGTGAGCAGCACCCTCAGCTTCATAAAGCATGGAAAAAGCATCCAAAACTTTGGACACCCAGTGGAGTTTTCTAAACGGCAGACCTATTGAGAACTCAATTATTTTCCAGATTTGCTGATAAATCCTTTTGTTGTTAATGGTAATTATAGTTATGATGAGAGTAACAAGAATGCAGAGATGGATACTGTCACAAAAAACATGGTTAGTGGCATCAGTGTACAGTTATTTGGATTCAGTCTATGCCTTGTGCATCTCTGCAACTCAAGAGATGTTGGAACAAGTGAGACTAGAATTTCAGTTAGCACCACAGGTCCTTTTTCTGTGTGTTGTCCAACCTCCTGAAGGAAAATTCCTTCCAGAAATCTCAAGCATGGCTCCTGTTTCCCACAGCTCAGGCAATGAGACTGGAAGAAAACTCTCCTCACTCCAAGAATTTTTCCCAGGGGCATGCCAAGGAGAGAGAGACCCAGAATAGCATACCCACTATTTCCACAGGGGATGTGCTATAAGTGATAACCAATGTGCTAAAAGTAGTTATATGTTCCCTATATACACAGTCAAAAGACAAGTAAAAAATTATTAGGCTGAAGAAGTAATGTTACTACGTTGTAGCCATTGTCCTGGGAGTTATCTTGGCAGACACATCTAATTCATTCAAGGTTGAAAAAATTTATAATGCCAGTTCAAGTAATGCTTTGTAGCAAGTAATAAGAACTAATATGTAAGAACAGAATAAAAATCTTCAAAAAATCTTCATAGCAGGAGAGTTAAATTCCTGTAGATAAATCACATAAATCAGCTGAAAAATCAACACTTCATTTAATCTGCTTTAGGTTCAGAAGAATCAGCTTGGAATGTAGTACATGTTTCTTTGCATTTACTCATTATATTTATTCTCCTATTGTATAACAACACCAATTTTCATATTTCAATACATATCTTTGAGTTAAACTTTGTTTGATAGAAGTTCAGTAAAAAATAGTATCTCAACTGCATTATTAGAAAATGCTACTTTTTCTAATTGTTGTCCAGCAACTTTATTCTGAAGGACATTGGTGTTGGATAGGTCAAACCAGAAGATGGAAGACAGAAATCCTTTTTTGACTTCTTCTACACCTCTTGTTTCACATTATGTGTTGATTCAACACTGCTGTGTCCAGTTTGGTCAATTAGGAGTCATAAATTTGGAGGAGCTAGTAATCAACAGATGAAGAATCTTGCACAACTTTAATATTTACAATATTTACATGACTGATTTTTGGTAATATTTCCAAGTCAGCTATGGCCTGAAGACTTTACCAACCTTGATTTTCTGGGTGACACTGTCAACAGATCAACAGTTAAAAGGAAAAAAGCATAAAGACAGTCTAACAGGATAGTGCCAGTTTCTCTCTGTAGAAATCAAACAGGATAGATTACATGCCAGTATTCTGTGTTGATTTTTACTTTTCTCTTGAATTGTTACAAAAACAATGACAAAAAAAAAGTGCTCTTTTGCAAGACTTTTTAAATATAAATAATATGCTATCCAAAAAATAGCACCACATCTGCAAATTAATGCTTCACAAAGATCTCTCACTGCTGTTCTTGGTCCAAATTCCTCAAAATGAGAGCTCATCGGAAGTCAGAAGTTGTAGGAAGCTTGTGTTGCACCCAGCTCTGACAGAGCAAGAGGCACTGTGGGCGATGAGTGCCCTGTGCACTGTCTTGCTGCTGGCCCATCACTGTAGGAGACGTTAGGAGCAGCATAGGAACATTGGCCATGCTCAGAAAGAAGAACAGGATGGAGCAGAGAACTCACAGCAATCATGAAGGAAAAGACAGAGCACCTTCAGAGTATGAGACACACTGTTAGCCCTGGGAAAGCCTGAAGAAGTTAAACTGAAGAGGATAGTCCATCTGCAATCCAGGGAGTTGGTGTGAACAGTGAACCAATATTTTCAACTTAGTAAAGACTGTCCACAGAACCAGATACTAATTGGGTCCCTTAAGGAAAACACAGTCAATATCAGGAAGGAAGATCTTTTGGTTTTGTCCCTACAGAAGACATCTATGAGCTGTGCAGCTTCACTCATGGTGGTTGTTTTTTTCTGGTCAGTTCTTTCTAATCACCAGCTAGCCATATCTAGATGTATTATAGTCAACAAAAAGCTCTTAAAGACAGAGGACTGTATCTCAAAAATCACAATTTCATTCCCTGCTTGTGGATAATGACAGAGAAACAATTATAGCAATCATTTCCAGCTGCTTTCTAACCTGGCATTTCAAGAATCACAGAATTGTATGGGTTGGTAGTGGCCTCTGGAGATCATATAGTCCAACCCTCCTGTGAAAATGGGTTCTGTCAAATAGGTAAGAAACTATAAAACTGTTAGTTTTGAGTAACCAAATTAACTCAGAGAGTAAATCTTTCAAAATTGCCAAGCTTTTAAACACAGTACACAGGCCAAAGCCTTCTGTCATATAAGCCATACTCGAAAGAACTCACATAATTCCAAGTAAAACTGGAACAAGCAGGGTGCCTCCAACAGAGGACAATTGCCTAGGGATGAAGCATATTGCAGGTCTGATCTAGTAAGAAATGCTCTGTGACTGGGAAGTACTCTGTTAGTGAGACTTGCACTGCTCTTCCTTGCAGTGTCATGAAACAGATGGTGCCTGATGTGGATGCCAAAAAAACATCTAAAATGCTACAGTCTCAACCTATAAATCTGAGGGATGATACAGATTAGAAATGAAGTGTGTATTCTGGTAGATATATGCTGGAAAAACACTGCCATAGTGAAATGCTTTGGAGGCTCCTTTCTTGGTTGGGTGAGAGGTCTGTACAATGATCAGCACTGATGTGGAGCTGCCACTGCTCTCAGTGTAGTAGCTCGTATTTCTGCAGCTCACACTTGAAAACGTTGGACGGAAAATCTTTTGCTTTCATTTTAAGCTTTTATTGTCTCAATCTGTCATAGGGAACAAAATCTGGACCCACAGCTATTCAAGCTCCCTTCATTCTGGGCAAAAAGGCCTAGATCTGCACACAAACCACTTAGAAGATTTGCTGGTTTCAAATGAGGTGTTCAGGACTCAGTTCATTACTCTCATGAGAGCTTTTCAATCTCGCTGTTAGGACAGAAAAGTATGAAAGGTCTTATGTTTGGACATAGGGCTGGAAGAAAGAGAGATGGAAAGAAGGAAGAAGACAAAGATACACTGTGAGGGAGAGAATTGAATATCAAAGTACAAATGCTTGTGAAGTCTTCTCATTGCTGATGTCTTCCACTTCAAAGTCCCAGAGTTTTAAAGGCATCTCGTAAATCATCTACTTCATACAGTGGCTGCAGAACAAAATATAAGCGATAGGTCATTTATCAAGTAAGCAGGAGTCTATAAAGATGGGGAAGGACAAAAGAATGGCATGAAATGTGAAGAGAGGTAGAAGAGAATGAGGTGTGGGAATATGAACAAAGTTAGGAGAAAGAGGCATAAGCAGCATGAAAGGTGATGACACAGGAGAGAATGAAATGATGGATAGCAGAAATGAGTAGTAAAAGCAGAGCACTTTTGCAAGGAAGGGAGGAAGAAGCTGAGGAAAAGAGGCACTGGAAGGAGTGGAAAAATTAGTCCTTACCAGAAGGATCCGTCGAAGTTTCCTGGACAGATGGACAGAGTTTTCATGCAGCCCTTCCCAGGCTTTGAATGTCTTTTCCCTGTTCTCCACAAATGTGTTCCAGCAATAGAAGAAATCTGTGCAAGGCACACGGGCATTAAAGCATGCTCAAGATTGCTCCAAAGAGGACACTAATCTCTTCTAGGCTCACTAAATCATCATACCATATCCTGACATAGCTCTCAGTTATTTCTCCCCTGCCCATTTTACCTTTGAATGTCATGATGGCGATTTGGGCTCCAGCCCGGTGCAGGCGTCTCAGCCCCTCAGGCTCTGCTTTGCGATCCTCACAGAAGTAAAGGCGGGCAGTGAAAATGCGCAGGGTCAAGTTTGGGTAGGCACGAAGGAAGTCAGCCACGTGTCGGGCGCAGTCATAACAGGGGCTCCAGGAGGTGAACCATGTGATGCGGTAGCAGCGGCCTGGGTCCAAGTCCCAAGCTGAGATGTAGCGTAGGAAGAGAACCTCCACATGGCAACCCATCTTCATGAAAGAGGAAGAGGGGCAAAACATGAGACAAGAATGAAGTAGGCTATAAGGGGAGGAAGGAGGGAGGTTTGAGCTGACTGATGTGTGAGAGGAGAATGAACAAGGTGAGAGAGAGATCTTAGGGTCAATGCACAGAAGATGGCACAATGATATATAAATGATGACTAGAAGAGGAATGTGTGGGAGCAAGGTAGAAAAATCAAGGCATCGTTAAAGCAGCAGGGACTATATGGATGTCTTGCTAGTAACATATTTGTGCGTAGCACAAATACAGGTCTACCTGGAGACTGCATCCCACAAATGTTGTATACCAGCTTAGTATCCGTTCTTGTGGATGCATATGCCAGAGGAGATGTTGCTGCTTTCAGTTCTTCTTCCCTGCTGCTCCAGAGCTGCATCAAGCTTAACATGGATATGAGAATAGGATGCCAACGTGTACCTCATACCTTGTTACGCAGGTATCCAAAGTCCAGGGAGCACGATGTAGCACTGTCACGGCGCTTCACAACATAACAGAGGTAGGTTTCACGACGGCCTTTGGCCCAGCGCAGGTTCTTGAAATTGTAGAGGAAGAGCTTCCTCTTCATCAAGAGGCTGAAGGAGAAGACAAGAGAATGCATATTGTCCTCATCCTGAAGTCATAGCTGTGAAGTTGGTCAGACCTATGTTGAGGGCTCAGCAGCAAAAATATCTCCATCAAGTTCAGACCTTCCATTGTGAAATAAAAACATTGGTAATTTGCATGAACTATTTCGGGGTGAGGGTGTAGATGTGACTGTGGGGGATGAAGGAGATAAGGAGGTTACCTTGTGAGTGGGAACAGTAAGTGAATTAGTAGTGATTAATCAAACAGCCTTATTCAACAGTCTCAATGTAATGCGAAGGTATATCTGAGGACTGCCATGTTCACTGTGGTAAGCTATTCACCTCTCTCACAGCAATGCAAAATGAAAGTGAATGTGTTAAAAATAATAATGTCCTTTGTCAACTTTTCTGTCTGGTAAGCTGGTGTTCAGCAGGGAGCTGGAGTCAGTGTAAGAGATGTGAAGCTGAGTTTTCTGGGGGTCTCCGGTGAGGTGTGGGAAATGGGAATTTGTATTTGCTGTGAATTTCCTGATTTAAATATGAGAGTTTAGGCAAGGAGAATTTCTTATATAAACACTCTTTATGTATTTCCCACTCCCCTTCTATGTGTGGCAGATCGTCAGATGGTTTAGGAAGGACAATCCAGACAATCACACGGTAAATAAGTGGATATGGTAGACCAGAGAATTGCAAAGCTCTTACCTGGGCTATATAACAAAAGCAAAACACCAGTAAAGTTTTCATATAGATATTTGCTTTCAGAATGTTTCTTATTTCCTTCTGGCAATCCCTTTCTTTCCATATTCCCATTTTTTTTTTTCTTTTCAAAGGTCTTACTCCTGCAGAGCAGCATGGAGTTGCAAAAACAAGTGAAGAAGGAGAAATAAAAATAACAAGAAAAGAACATTTGGGCCCTTTCATGTCAGGACAAAGTGAAGACTATATAAGACAATTTTGAGTCACAAGAAGCATCTTGTACATCTAGAAATATTTGTTAACATCAATTCCTGATTTCTCTGTTCTGCAGAACTGACCATTGCTGGGGATTTTTACTAGGAAGAATGACCAGTATGAGAACAAAAGTGAATGAAAAGATGTTATGGGAGGCAACTGAGAAGATCTGCAGCTAAGTATGATGTGATGGCTACATATGCAACTCCTGTAGCATAGGAGCACATCGCATAGTTCAAGAGAAAGCAGCAAAGACACAGAAGCTGTGATCATACACAAGCACTGAACAGAGACCTTCTCCTCAAATAAAGATTCATGATGAAATCCTGAAATCAGAGCGGAAGCCCCTGAGTGTGTGAATGATATACAGTTATGCAGAGTAATTTAAGTAATGTAAGTAGAAAAATGCAGTGCTGGAACAGTCTGTGCCTGAAAGCACAAGGTGAGAGCAGCAGAAACAGAATAAGATTGAAACCTGGTGCAAGAGGGAGAATAGATAGAGAGACAGAAGACTGAGCAGAGATCAAAATGCTTAAGCAGCATCTAAATGTACATCTTTCTATTATATATGTATATATACATATATATATATATTTGTTTGTTTGTTTCTAGAAAAGAAAGAGAATGAAAGGGAACAGAGAATAGTCACAAGAAAGAAATGACAAGAATGGAAAAGGGTGCAGGTTAGTTTGCAGTCAAACAGAGAAGGAGTGATGGAGACAGAGAGCTGCAATGTGTAAGAGTAGAACAGGGTTGGATTTAGATCACTGAGTCATATGGAGAAAGGGAAATGGACAGTAAGCACCAAGTGGACAGAAATTCAATTAGAAACCTAATTTCTTCTATCAGCAAGAAACTGGAGGCATTCATTTTACCTGTCCATGTCAGCTGGGTTCTCTCTCAGATGACTGGGTTGCACAGAAGCTGCCTCACAAGCTCTGACTGTTCAACCCCCTGGTGCACAGAAATGTGGAATGCTCTGTCCTTCCCTTCCCCATTCACCCCTATCTACTCTTGATGGGTTTCAGACACACGGCTAGGGGAGGAGTTAGAAGGGGCCCTGGAGCTGTATGAGCCAAAGAGCAAAGGGTTAAAATGTGAAGGGACTCTAGTTCTGAAAGATGCTCTGCACTCATTGGCTGCCTGTCCTCATTGCACTTGCCATTGGGCCCTCCCAGTCTGCAAAATTATTCTGAATTAATATCAATAACATGACGAGGCAGGAAGCATCGTCTACTGGTTAGGGGGGGGCCTGGGAGCTGTGTACCACTGACAGTGCAAAACCACACTACCCCTCTGGGCCTCTGCTCATACAGCTGTGCAGTGATGATGGTGATGCTGAGCTTCCCTGTCAAGGAAGCAACAGGGGTGGCCTGTGAGAGTGCACTGTGAATCCAGGTGGAAAAAGCTCAGGGAGCACCAAATTGTTGTCTCCTCCATTTCTTCCAGAAAGGTTTGGCAGCTTCTTGGGAGCATATGGCAGCACCAAAACTGAAGAGGAGTGAGAATAGACTTACGTAGCTCATGGAAAAGGCATAGGGGTGATGTGCAGAAATTGGGCATGTCACCCCTGTTTGACACTTGACTGCCATGCATTCTGGGCCATGTCAGCATGAAAGGAGAGGCACTAACCCAAATCACAAAACTGTATGCAAAAAACCCGCTGAGCATGACTGAGGCCTAAAACCTGCTGAGCACACACTGCTGGAAACATTACTGGAACCAGCAAGCTTGGGATGGGGTGCAGAATCCCTCCTCTGGATGTCTCACAGCAGCATTGCCTTCACTCATCAGGCCTGTGGTTACATGCAGGTGTGCTGAGGCTTGCTCTCACTATGTGCACTCTCACTTTGCTAACAGTTTTCTACTTCTCAGGCTCTGCTCCACTGCAGCACTGCCAAGGTGACCATCCCCTCTGCAAGGCTGAGGGACAGCCAAGGAGAACCTCCAGACAGACATGGGTGCTGAGGAGGCAGATAGGGGCTATCGTGCTCCATTTCAGGTAGGGGCTATCCTGCTCCATTACTTCCTCAAGCTGGGAATGACTGTGAGCACTACAGCCCTTTTGTTTACCTCATGCTAGGGTAGTTCTTCATTTTTTTCTCTGCTTGATTTACTTTCTTTATTAATTTTACCGGCTTTCAGCTTGCTGCTAGTACCGCACGAAGCCAGTATATGCAAAAACATGAGTTGGCAGACCAGAACAGCCTACTCTAGCCCAGTACTTTAAAAGTGGCCAGTAATGCATACCTCAAGAAAAGGAGAGCTCCTGGAAATTCAGGACTGGACTGTCCTACACCATGGAGAAATGTATTCCTAGCTCCGCAGTAGTAGTGGTCATACTCAAAAGACACACAGTTTAGCAGCTTCATTGCCAAGGGTTGTGGCAATTATGCTCTTTGGAGATCTGGCTTTTAGTGTTGACCAAAGACAGAAGAGTCTGCATACCCTATTAATCCCTGTTCTACATAACAGACTAATAGAGGACTTTCCTGCTAATAAAACAGCTGCTCCCTTTCAGCCTTTGCTCTAGCAGAACCTTATGACAAATATCCCAGGTTAGTCCTGGAATCATTTTATCCTGCCTTCATACTATTTTTTTCTTTTGGTAACACAAATGTCTATTACACAAAAAAAGTAAAAAACAACAACACACCCTTGGAAATGTTCTTCTTAAGGTTGACTGTCTATGTTTCATCAGATAAATTAAGGTAGATTTGGCTTCATTCTTGTTTCGGTTCCTAATTTTTAGATCCAAACATTTATAGAAAATTTTGTAGATTTTTATTCACTTTAGAAGGAGTAAAAGAGAAAATATTAATAGTCAGCTAGATCATATCAATAAGTGAAATCTGTGAGATCTATGTGTCGATTCTCATAAAATCAGAGAATGGCCTGGGTTGGAACCTCAGGGATCATGTATCTCCAATCCCCCTGCCACCTATCTCATAGGTCCACCAACCTCCACATTTAATACTAAACCAGGCTGCCCAGGGCCCCATCCAACCTGACCTTGAACACTTTTAGGAATGGGCCATACACAACCTCTCTGGGCAGCTTCTTCCAGCACCTCATCTTATCTCACTAGTAAAGAACTTCCCCCCGACATCCAACCTGAATCTTCCTTCCTTCAACTTAAAACTGTTTCCCCTTGTCCTGCTGTTATCTACCATTGTAAAGAGTTGGCTCCCCTCCTGTTTGTAGGCTCCCTTTAGGTACTGGAAGGCTGCGATTAGGTTATCCTGCAGCCTTCTCCAGGCTGAACAAGCCCAGCTCCCTCAGCCTGTCTTTGTAGGGGAGGTTCTCCAGCCCTCTGGTCACGTTTGTGGCTCTCCTCTGGGCCCTCTCCAACAGCTCCCTGTCTTTCTTGTACTGGGGGCTCCAGACCTGGACTCAGTACTCCAGATGGGACCTCATAAGGGCAGAGTAGAGAAGGACAATCACCTCCCTGTCCCTGCTGGCCACCTCTCTTCTGATGGAGCCCAGGATACCATTTGCTTCCAAGCTGCAAGAGCACACTGCTGGCTCATGTTGTTTTTTATCCACCAGGACCCCCAGGTCCTTCTCCCAAGGGCTGCTCCTTCTGGTCTGTATAAATGCCTGGGATTCCTCTGGCCCAAGTGCAAAACCTTGCACTTCATTGTGTTGAACCTTTTGAGTCTGTTGAGGTCCTTCTGAATGGCATCCCTTCCTTCCACCGTGTCAACCACACCACTCAGCTTGGTGTCATCAGAAAACTTGCTGAGGGTGCACTCAATTCTGTCGTTTGATGTCATTGATAAAGTTGTTAAAAGAGCACCAGTCCCAAGATAGACTCCTGGGGGATGCCACTCATTACTGACCTCTCCCTGGAATAGAACCATTAATCACCATCCTCTGTCTGCGGCCTTTCAACCAATTCCTTATCCATTGCGTGGTCCACTCATCAAATCCACATCCCTCCAATTTGGAGATAAGGATGTGGTGGGTGACCATGTCAAAGGCCTTGCTCAAGTTCAGGTAAATGACATTTGTTGCCTTCCCTTTGTCCACCAATACTCTCAATGTTGAAATAGATTCTTTCTCAGATTCTGCAAACCATTGGAATGCATTCTTCAAGATTTAAAACATTAGTCATTTTCCATAAACTTTGATACTCTGCACAGAAATAAGAAAGAACAAATGAACCAACAGATGAGTTATGTCACTCTTTGGCAAGGCTAGCAAGTCTAACTGCTGTTGAAAGCTTCCTAATACCCTTCATTTTGACCATCCAGCCACTTCCCTCTCACTTTTAATGTGTATGCCCAAAAACAGTAGCAGCACTTCTCTGCCTCCAGCTTTAATTCCCAGAGCAGGAATGTGTTGGTGTCAAAGCTAGTTGTGGATGTGTTGTTTGTGTCTCATAGCAAGTCTAGGATTAAATCTTGAGAGGGATCCTCAGCTCCTATGCTGTTCTTATGGCAGGAGATGCAACCTTTCTTGCATATTAGCACCTATGATCTGGTTAAAAACATGATTAGCAAACAAACATGGGAAGATCACTGACCTCTGATTTATTTGCTAGTCCATCTTCTTCTCTGGCTGTAAATTGCCAAAATTTATTATCTGGTAGGACTTCTTTCTGGATGGGAGCTAATATACATGAGGAGAGATTTTGACCATGCTTATTCTTTCCTTTCTGCTCAATGTAAAATCATTTGGAGAAGGGACTAGTTGTGAAAGAGTGAAAGGGTTTTACAAATTATGATTCAATCTATGTTCAGATTAAAGCTCAGGTCAGTTAAACAAGGCTAATGGGGAAGGCTAAGAAAGTTTCCTTTATTGGTGTGTTTGTAGTATTATTTAGAAAAAGGCATTGGTCCACCTTATCATGATTACATAGTGATGCCCTAGCATCCCTTCAGGCATCTTATACTCAGAAAAATGAGAACATCAGGCAATTAAAAGCAAATTGAAGAGTGGAGTAGGAGAGGAGAAGGAAGGTTAACATCACCAGAAAGCAAAAAGAGAAGAAATCAGAAAGCAAAAATGTGGTGAATAATTAAAAGTAATGATCTAAACCCAAAGCAGAGTAGAAGTTGCTTGTTTAGTCAACAGGAAGTTGTGTGCTGTTGTGTACTGATATAAATACTTTTTCCATTCACCTCTTGCTCAGAAATCATATTTTGAATCGACCGCCAGTGTCAACAGTTGGTTATTTCTTACACTGAGCGTAAGAACTGCAGCCACCTGCTTCCCTTGCCTTAAGCGAAATTCTCAAGCAAAAAACTTTCTCTTCTTGAAGAGTGCTGATGCACCATAGGCACAGACTTGCACAGATGCCTCAAACAGGGCAAAAGCAGAGTTCTTTGTAGCTAGACACAGGCAAATAAGTTGATGTGCCTATTTTTTATAAGTACATTACATTGTATTCTGTGTTTATTTCACAAAGATTAATTGTCCCATTTTGAAAGATAGATCCAGCACAGAAGTAAAACAGTTCTGCCAAGACTACTCCCATTGCTCCTGTTCCAGGTGTGAAAAAAATTAGCATTACATGTGGAGGCTGTTTGTTCCATGGGGCAATGTGCCTTGTCCCTACGTCTGCCAACTCTTCCTGTGATGTTGACATCATGACTGGGAAACATGTTTCAACAGTGGTATGGCAAAACACTGCCTTTCATGGTGTGGAATATACAGCACCACAGAGATATAGGGAAACTCTTAGGATGTATGTGAAATCTACTTGGATGTGACTGGGCGGATTGTGTGTTGGGTAGGGGTAGGTTGCGAATGAAAATCTGAAGCACTGTGAGGCAATGCCTCAGAGGCATAAGAACAGTGGTCTGAAGTCACAAGAAGGAAGTGGGAGTGAGAGAAGGTGGAACTCAAGGATGTGTGGAAGTGCTACTGAGAGGGTGAGCTTATGAAACTTTAACCTCCACCTTGTACACTACTGCATGCTGCATGCTTGTAGATGATGCCACTGATGTAGAATTGAGGGCTGGTTGAGGGCTGGGTGTGCGTTAAGATCATACTTTATTATGCCTTTCACTAGTAATTTGGCTTT